AAGGGATGAGAGAGAGAGGTAGAGAGAGAGAGAGAGGGGTGGTTGACGGACGACGATCACTAGCAAGGCGGACGACACTGAATCAAGAGCGTGCAAGGGCTCGGGGTAGAAGCAGAACCAGAAGGTGGAAAACAGAGGAACGGAGGCAAAGGCAACATGATCAGAACCTGTTATAACTCAAATTTTTAATAGAATTTTAATTTTATTGTTATTTTTAGTCTTTTATTTTATTTTAACTAATATGTTTTGTCTTTATTTTCCTTTTAGGCTCACGAACAAAAGAGGATTGGAAAAGGAAGATGAAGGAGTTTAAAATGAGAGAAAGGGAAAGTTAGAGGGTTGAAATGCAAAGTTAAAAAAAAAAAACAAAACCCAAGGCCCACCAAATTTCTCAAAAACCAAAATCCAAAAATCCACAATATTTCAAAACCCAAAAACCCACAACCCAAGATCAAACCCAAAGACCCAATCTTCCCAAAAACAAAAAAAAAAGAGGAGAATTAAAATTCTTTCTCTCCCAAACCTTCCCCCATTTTTCGGTCAACCCTCACTCTCGGCCTTCTCTCTTTTTCTCCCGAACCCTCCCCATCCTTCTGCTAGCAACCAGCAGCCATCTTCATCCTCTTTCTCCGATCACCATCACCACCATCATCTTACCGATTTCATCATCACCACAGCCGGCAACCACCTCCTCCTTCTACCGTCTCCCTTCTCCTTCTCCTTCTCCAACCGAGCTTTCCCTCCATACCCAAGATTCCTCCCCTCCCATGAAACCCTCGGCTTCTTTCTTCCTTCGGTTTCCCCTTTCTTCCTTGCACAGATCCCGGCCATCCCTTTTCCGCTATCTGGAAGCTTGGGTTGCCGACAGCCGTGCAAAAGACCATCCCCACGAGCCACCATGACCCACGCTGGCGAGTGAGCATCGGAACCAGAGAGAGGAAAGCCAGATCTACCAACCAGCGATGGCGGTGGTGTGCACGCGGAGCTTCGACGAGTTGGCAAAATCCCGATCTCCCTGCAACTGGAATAGATTTGCAGAGGAAATCTATGCACGAGTGGGTGACGACCGGATGAATTGGGCGTGGATTTAAGGCCCAAATGCATTTCGCAGAGTTTGTAAAAAAAGGTAAAGACCAGAGAGGCCCAAATGCATTGCAAAATTCTGGTGATTGGAGGAGCCCAAAACCGTGGACACAGAAAAGCCCGGAGAGTGATTTCTGGAAGGTTCCGGTTGGGATTTTTAGGGTTTTTAGGGTTGGTTTTGGTTTGAGTATAAATAGAGGGTTTTAGGTTAGAAAAGGGGGGGATTTTTTTTTGGTGGTTCTGGTGTTGCCGGCGGAGAAAAGGAAGAGCTTTCTGTTGAAAGGGGACTCGGTTTTGTATTCGGAGTTGACGGAGGACTTGTTTACCGTGTCTGCTTTGTTTAGGTAAACCTTTGAACAGAGGAGTTTTTCTGGGAACGGTGGTGAAGGGGACGATGGGAGCCTGGTCTCGTGGGTGGGATCCCTCCCATCAGATCTGGATCTGCTTTTCCTTGAAGAATTCCGCCGTGGGTGTTGCTTTGTTTGTTAATTTCTTTCTCTTTGTATTTTCCATTTAATGTTCAAGATCGTATGTTTTCCTTGAGAAAATGAATGAAAGATTATATATATTTACCTGTGTAGTTGCCTGATGAATCTGTGAATCTGTTCATCTTTCTGCCAAAAATGTATTCATGATGAACCCTAATTTTGGCTAAGTCGTTTGCATGTTTGATCTTCTTGTTTTTGGTTATTTGATATTCGGTTGTGTTTTCTTTGTTCGGTTCTGATTCAGTAAAAAAAAAAAAAACATAATATAAATAAAGTAAACTAATTAATCAAGATAATTAACTTAATTTATTATTAATATTAATTAAAATTAATTAAAATAAATTAATCATATTTATTGATCTTAATTTAAGATAATTATATATTTATCTTGATCAAAGATTGATAATATGATTAATTAATTTTAATTAATCTTAATTAATGTTAAATTAATTATTCAATTAAGTTAATTACTATATTAATTAATTTAAATCCTTAATTGCCGTTAATTATCTTCTCGTTTTAATTTTTTACCCAAAACTTTTTTATAATTAAGCAATTTAGTCCACATGTTTCAACTCTTTTCAAAATCAGTCCATCATGTTTTGAATTTGATCAAATCGGTCCTTCATATTTTGAATTTGATCAAATCGGTCCTTCATGTTTTGAATTTAATCAAATTAGTCCTTTAATTTTTTTATTTATGCCCACTTCGCATGCATGTTCTTGAATTTGTCCATTTTAATCCAAAAACCTAAAAAATGTTTCAATTTGGTTTATCCCTTTTTTTAAGCTTTCTTATTAAGACTTAAGTAAATAAATATGATTAATAAGTTGAATCAAAACCCCAATTTTAAAGTATGCAACCGTGTTTAAACGGAGGATTGTGAGGTGCGCGTATGCCCTTCCTCACTCCTAACCGAACCCCCGAACCCCGATTTTCTGCGCAGACCTGTTTTAGGTGACTTGTCCCACCTTATAATTTGGACGAGTGGCGACTCCCTTCTTTTTTATATTTTCACACTTAATAATCCCATTTTTTAAGTGGTCGTCAACAGATTGGCGACTCCACTGGGGACTGAACCTAGAATCCTTGGTTTCCATATTCTAGGTTCACGAGGGTCGAGCTAATACTTTAACTTTGGGGAATTTTCAACTTTTGATTTTTCTTTGTTTGTTGAGTCTTTTGTGGGTCTTTGTTATTTATT